AAACACACAGATAAATATGTTCTTTTTCACTGAAATAAATTAAACATTATTTAAATATAAAAAATAACACTCAAATAAATATGTTCTTTTTCACTGAGATAAATTAAACATCATTTAAAAATAAAATAAAAACACACAGATAAATATGTTCTTTTTCACTGAGATAAATTAAACATTATTTAAAAATAAAATAAAAACACACAGATAAATATGTTCTTTTTCACTGAGATAAATTAAACATTATTAAAAAATTAAATAAAAACACACAGATAAATATGTTCTTTTTCACTGAGATAAATTAAACATTATTAAAAAATAAAATAAAAACACAATGATAAATATGTTCTTTTTCAATGAAATATAAACATACCCTTTTAATGAAATAAAAACACTCAGATAAATATATTCTTTACTATGAAATAAAAAATAACACACAAATAAATATGTTCTTTTTCACTGAGATAAATTAAACATTATTTAAAAATAAAATAAAAACACACAGATAAATATGTTCTTTTTCACTGAGATAAATTAAACATTATTTAAAAATAAAATAAAAACACACAGATAAATATGTTCTTTTTCACTGAGATAAATTAAACATTATTTAAAAATAAAATAAAAACACACAGATAAATATGTTCTTTTTCACTGAGATAAATTAAACATTATTAAAAAATAAAATAAAGACACACAGATAAATATGTTCTTTTTCACTGAGATAAATCAAACATTATTAAAACTAAAATAAAAACACAACGATAAATATGTTCTTTTTCAATGAAATATAAACATACCCTTTTAATGAAATAAAAACACTCAGATAAATATATTCTTTACTATGAAATAAAAAATAACACACAAATAAATATGTTCTTTTTCACTGAAATAAATTAAACATTATTTAAAAATAAAATAAAAACACACAGATAAATATGTTCTTTTCCACTGAAATAAATTAAACATTATTAAAAAATAAAATAAAAACACACAGATAAATATGTTCTTTTTCACTGAGATAAATTAAACATTATTTAAAACTAAAATAAAAACACACAGATAAATATGTTCTTTTTCACTGAGATAAAAAACATAGAAAAAATTGTTCATTCCACTTTACTCAGTATCCCTTCAGAGAGTCCACAAAGGTAAAAATGTAATAAACTTACTGTAGTTTATATAAACCATGATAAAATTGAGAGGTTATAATTTGAGCTTCACGTGCTGTATCTAAGGGATCCTGCCAATCACCAATAATTACTCCATGATATGTCTGATTACAACCTGGAGCTGAAAAAAAAATCCATAGATAATATATTTTTAGCAGGGCTGTTGATTTATCTGTAATTGCCAGTCATGTCTGATCGGAGCTTCATATTTACTGACTGCAAGTTTGATGTTTAGGACATTTTCTAAGCAAATGTGCTAGTTTTTGCTGAATTTCTTAGGAATTCTTGATAATAATGAGAGGTGTCTCTCCGGAGCGAGGCCGAAAAGAAACCAGAGCCCCTTAGATACGGGGGCCAGAGACCCAACGCATTTCAGATGGCCTGAGATGAATTTTAGGCATTTAAAGGGTTTAATTTTCACTTAAAATTAGAGCTTTCACAGGCCCTTTCCCTAAATACAACACCAGTTGAACTAAACAATACTGAAATACTAAATTTTACACACCTGTTGTTTGCTGTTTATGACAACATGTCCATTTATCATGTTTATAAACACCAGGATGATATGATGATACTCGACATTTATTATATTGACATGTTTTACGTAATGATGATATCCAATTAGTCACTTCATTGACATCCTACAGAAATAAATATAATACTTGACATTTATTATATTGACATGCTTTACGTAATGATGATATCCAATCAGTCCCTTCATTGACATCCTACAGAAATAAATATAATACTTGACATTTATTATATTGACATGTTTTACATAATGATGATATCCAATTAGTCACTTCATTGACATCCTACAGAAATAAATATAATACTTGACATTTATTATATTGACATGTTTTACGTAATGATGATATCCAATTAGTCACTTCATTGACATCCTACAGAAATAAATATAATACTTGACATTTATTATATTGACATGTTTTACATAATGGTGATATCCAATTAGTCACTTCATTGACATCCTATAGAAATAAATATAATACTTGACATTTATTATAATATTGACATGTTTTACATAATGATGATATCCAATTAGTCACTTCATTGACATCCTACAGAAATAAATATAATACTTGACATTTATTATATTGACATGTTTTACATAATGATGATATCCAATTAGTCACTTCATTGACATCCTACAGAAATAAATATAATACTTGACATTTATTATAATATTGACATTTTTTACATAGAATGATATCCAATTTGCAATTCCCAACCTGTATAAATATAAATCATTGGAATAACCTCTCCTAAAGGCTCAATAATACACTGGCCAAAAGCACTGGCTAATGATTGATAACTCTACTGATGTTAGCATTAAAAAACATATTGACCATCATCAAGAATGATATAAACAACAATTGGTATAACCTCGCCAAAAGGTTCTATAAACAAAGTTCAAATTGTTTGATAAATGCTTTTATAGACGACCCTACCTTAGCTTGAAAGTAAAGTATATCTTGTTCACCATCCTTACTTTTAACAATAATCTGACCAACATTACTTTTACCTAGAGCACCATAATCTATTTTCTCGACAGCACAGATAGTCTGTACATCTAAAAACTTGGAATTACCCTGAAATAAAAAGTAATTAATGGTAATTAGTAATAAATTAGCTAATTAAAATCCAATAACTTGTTGCGAAGAGAAATTTGCCAAAATGATAGGGGCAACAAGCGCCGTCATGAATAATTCATAAGATCATACCAATTTTAATGTGCAGTGCCTCTCCAGCCAAAAGGAAACACCAGATAGACCTTAAGGCCAGTGACTAAATATTTAGATCACTTAGCACCCAATTCTTTGCTAAGTTAGCCTCAGAAGTTAACTGACACTTATTAAATACCTTCCTTCACTGAACTTTTGAAATTAAGTGTATACCTTTGGAGCAACATTTTTAAAAATAGACCAACCATAAGGAAGTAATATGCAATATAATATCTTTCATTTCTGTACCACATTAAGCTTATAAAGATGTGCCATGCAGTGTTCAATGAGGGAAATTAGAAGTAGAATGACAGCAATAAATATCAACTTACATCAACAGCTGCTGTTTTAGAATAATGAAGACATTTTCTTGTCAACCAGAAATGTCGTTTTTTAAATACAAATGGACGGAGTAAACGTTTGGGATGATAGCGACATTTATATAAAACTCCATGACGTAATATTACACTGCCTTCTTCTTCAGATATAGTTAATGAACTTTTTAATCCTGTTGTGTAGGCTGAAATAGGAGACAAAACTTTTTCAGCATATCTTGCATATTCAGTGCAGAAGAATCTACTTTATTTTCAGGTAGAATAAATAGTAGAAACTATACAGGCTTATCTTATTTTGTCATAGGAATACTATTTGAACTACCTAAAATTAAAATGGACTGTCTGAGCAGAGATGGTTAAAATCTATTAAATAATTGACAGAGTTAAACTGAGAAAGAGAGTGATCATTTTTCATTGCATACATGGTTGTAACATTCTGTATCACATGCTATATTGACTCTCCTTATTTTAAGTTCCCTTTTGATTTGTGACTTCACCTCAGATTTGTGACTTCCCTTTTGATTAAAGACTTCCATTTAGATTTGTTACTTCCCCTTTGATTTGTGACTTCCCTTTTGATTTGAGACTTCCCTTAGATTTGGGAATTCCCTTTTGATTGAAGACTTCCCCTTAGATTTGTGACTTCCCTTTTGATTAAATACTTCCATTTAGATTTGTGACTTCCCCTTAGATTTGGGACTTCACTTTTGATTAAAGACTTCTCTTAAGATTTGTGACTTCCCTTTAGATTTGTGACTTCCTCTTAGATTTGTGACTTCTCCTTAGATTTGTGGCTTCCCTTTTGATATATACTCTCTATAACTTTCATGATAAAATACAAGTATAAAGCCATTGCAGAAGTAGGAGGTAATTAAAAATTAAGCAGATTTTTCCCAGAGAAAGTGAAATTATTTACAAAATTTTAATGTGATTGTTTTCTATAATTTGACATTAGATTGTATAAATAAAAAGTCTATGTTAAGTATGAAATACAAAAGAAAATGTCAGAGAGCACTAGTTAGGTTTTTTATATTTCACAGTAGTTTTAAGTTTCAAATTAGCCTCTAGCGTTGATTTAAGGATGGCTTAAGTGCAGTTGGTTAAAACATTTAACAGAGTCGTTTGCTTAGTGAAGGAAAACAAATGGTGGTCGTGGGTCATTATCTGGGTCAGGTCAGCATATCAAAGTCTGATGACTTATTTCTCATTACTCAAGTCCTCAGCTGTAAAATGGGTACAGGAAAGATCAATGTCAAGAGGTTTGGCCAAGGATCACTTGATAGAAAGGATCCTCATGAATCTTCTTTTATTTTTCTTCCTCTCTGATCCAAAACCTAATTTACCAAAAAACAATCTGGGCTCATAAGGAAGTAAGTGTCATGCCTAAGAAAAGTAATTTCTTACCATCTGGTGCTGCTACTTCTACTAATTTATTTATAAAATCTTTTATTTTAACAACATAAGTTTTTAATATAGGTATTAATGGTTGAAACCACTCTTCTTTAACTTGAAATGAGGTTAAATTACCAATTAGCTGGGTTAACTAGAAACAAGTACAAATAAACAATAAGAGGAAGTAGCAGGAAAAGTATATATGGCTGAGGTGAATGAAGCTTTATTCTGCACTTTTTGCGCTGTCAGCAGCATGAGCCTGCTCTTTTTCGAATTCCAACAGTGGGTATCCTTAATGTGCACAGCCTGTAGCACACATGGCCTCTTACCTGCATCACTGACAGGGGAAAACCAAGTTGAAAAATTGGAAGGTATTATCTCAACCATGCCGGAATTGAATCCTGGACTTTCAGGTTAGCAAGCAAGCATGTAATTCACTGAGCCAAGGCTCCCACATGAGGATATACAAGTAGTAATGAAAAAATGAGTACATAACCTACCTTAGCCAATAATGTAAGAGTTCGTGATATTTTAACATTTGGATGATGATCTTGTAAACCAAATAATTTAGGAGCTAATATTGCTGGGGCAAAAAATCTCAAAAATAAAAAACCAACTACAGCTTGATAAGGACAGTCCTAAAATAAATTCATTCAAATTTATCTCAAAAATAATACTCATGTTCTATTTAGGACAAGGCATATCTAGTTGCTATTTCAATGTCCAGATGACTCATTCATCCTTGGTGGTATAACAGATGCAGAAGCAAGATGCCTACTTCCACACTGGTTCCATAAAGTGGTAGTTTCAGCTAAATCCTTCTACTGTCTTGTTCAGTGGTAAAATGATGACAAAGTCCTGCAATGATCATCTTGGCAAATTGGATTCAATGATTTTGAAACTCCTTCAGCTGGATATGAAAGTTTTCATGTTTCCTACTAGTAAGTGATCCTATATGGGAGCAGAAATTCTACAAAAAAAAAATCAAAACCTGTTGGATCATCAGAGCAGTTGTATGTACTGTTCTGTAAAATTAAGCAATAAAGTTTTACTCTTTCTTCTTACCTGATGTTCAGTTTCCGGCCATTTTTCTTTGACTCGATGTGTTAAATTTCTAAATACTAGTCTCATTTTAAGTGGACATTGTTCAACAGAATTAAAGATGGCTTCCATGACGTCTGCCATGTAATGTTGTAAAAGATCTTGACTATTCTGTAGAATATCATTTTCAGATTCTTTATGTAAACTATGACGTCTGCAAAACAGAACATAAACAGAAAACTTTAGCTTCTATAGCAGAAATGATTAAAGGCTGCAGACATTCAGAGAATTTTAGTGGTAAGGCTATGTCATGTCATGAGAATTGTGCCTGTGGTTCCACTAAAACCAAGCATTTAAGTCGTCACTATCACAAACGCTACTTTGTGAGGTTCTATAACACAGCCTGTTGGATTGTTGTTTTGCTTGTTTACGTCAAGCAAATGGTGGCTGAGGGTTCCGATCTCGATTGGCGTGTGACTTATCATTTCAGTCGACGCAGCTTGTAAATGGGTATGGATATTTCGGTAAGGATCAGGCTACATATTCTCGAAACGATCTTAGCGCTAGGATGTCCTAGAATCAATGTTAGAAGATAAAAACCTGGGACATCCTAGCGCTAAGATCGTTTCGAGAATACATGGCCAGGTTTGTGATCTTAAGTTGTTATCCTTGTAAAATATAGTTGTTTCTTTCCTTCTAGGGGACTCTCATCATAGTGACATCATAAAACGCTTTGTTTTAATGGAAATGGAATAGTGAAAATTGATGCAAGCAACATATAAGTTTAGAAACCTCTTTACAAACCCTTCAATTTCTCAATAAAAAGAGTCTCTGAATAAACTAAAATAATAAATTAAAATATCCAATCTTACCTCCTAACACTATTGACTCTATGTGGATCTAATTCTACCGTTTTTCTTTCGTTAAATATTCTATCTATTGTACTATATAGTGTTTCATATAAATATGGCATACCAACTATCTATAAAGAAAACATACAAAAATAATGATGCATAACAAATGATGAGGATTCTTGTATCTAGTTAAATTCTAGAAATATGATTGGTCAATATAATCAACAGCAAAATCAACAATAAGTGAGTTACCATGACAACCCTTGTTGAATTTTCAGAAAGGGTAATTGCTTTCTATCCTTTCCATGCCTGTTTATCAAACCTGCATCAACGGCATAGGCAAAACAAGTTGGAAAATCTGATGAAACATTCTGGACTTATGTTTCAACTGAGCTTTGAAAATGCAAGCAAGTGTCTCTACTGTGGTACCAGTTCCATCAGAGTAGCCGCAAGAGCTCCATGTTTATTTCTTTCACATCTATCTATGTATCAAAACTCTAAGTTTCTATATGTATGTAGATACTTACCTTCATGAACTGGTCCATAGCCTTAGTACCAAGCGTATTACCACGGAACAACGTATGAGGATCATCTGCAATAAAAACATATTTATCATCTATATCAAGTTTAGTTATACAATCTAGAAATGATATAGCCGTAACTAGTTTATCTTACCCGTATCATCTATATCTAGTTTAGTTATACAATCTAGAAATGATATAACTGTATCTAGTTTATCTTACCTGTATCATCTATATCTAGTTTAGTTATACAATCTAGAAAATGATATAACTGTATCTAGTTTATCTTATCTGTATCATCTATATCTAGTTTAGTTATACAATCTAGAAAATGCTATAACTGTATCTAGTTTATCTTACCTGTATCATCTATATCTAGTTTAGTTATACAATCTAGAAATGATATAGCTGTATCTACATTATCTTACCTGTATCATCTATATCTAGTTTAGTTATACAATCTAGAAAATGCTATAACTGTATCTAGATTATCTTACCTGTATCATCTATATCTAGTTTAGTTATACAATCTAGAAAATGATATAACTGTATCTAGTTTATCTTATCTGTATCATCTATATCTAGTTTAGTTATACAATCTAGAAAATGATATAGCTGTATCTAGATTATCTTACCTGTATCATCTATATCTAGTCTAGTTATACAATCTAGAAAATGCTATAACTGTATCTAGTTTATCTTACCTGTATCATCTATATCTAGTTTAGTTATACAATCTAGAAATGATATAGCTGTATCTTGACTTAGATATAATCGTACCAATGCTCCAGCTGTCTCATTTAAATCTAACTGTCTAACTTCATTCAGTACTCCCCAAAATATCGATCCAAATTTCTTATGCTGAAAAGAGGGATTAGGCTGTCAAAAAACATACACAGAAAACTGCGCGCTAATATAAGTCTCAGAGAAAATCAAAAAAGCAGGACTCTTTCTAAAAATGAGTCTTGAAGCTTATGGGCACAGGAATAGCATTCACTAAACAGGAGTAAGAATTCAAAAAAAAAAATGTTAATGTGCGAAGGCGATTCAAAAGGATTCTAATACCACTTATTTCAAATTATCAAAAGAAAATGGCTGACAAACTATACCTTATGAGGTTTGGCAGCATCTGTTAAAACATCTATAATAGGTTGATATGCTGGTAATGGTAGAACTATTTCTTCTAATAGAAATATCTTTAATCTTATTTTACCTCGGTCAACTTTACTACAAAAATTACATTTTAACAATATAAATGGTGATGGATACAACAATAAAGAATGAACAACCAATTTTTACAAGGATAGCAATTTAAGTTCACAAGGATCCTTTCTACCAGCTGACCCTGGGCAAATCACTTGACATTGATCTTTGCCAGATTATTCGAACCCATTCACAGCCAGGTGAGAAATGAAGAAAGATAACTTCTCTAAGGTCAGCAGACTTTCACATGCTGACAAAGATTATAGCCCATGACCACCATTTAATTGTAACTACATATTCATTGGTGTATATAAACTACGTACCTGCCCCTTCTTTCCTGTACAATAGGATTTTTGACGTCTGTTCTCTCAGGTTTATGCGAAACTGAATGCCATTTTTTAACTGTATTATAAGGAACTTTGCTTAATGGTAAATGAACCTAAGATAAAAATATCAGTGATTTTAAAAATGGTGTATAACACCTTCAGCAATCAAAGGACCCAATAGTATTTTCATCAAATTAGTTGACCAAACCTTCATCAATAGGGTAGAAGGCTAAACAATTTGGCTTTATTGCTATTATAATTATTAGGAAAATAGACATTGAATCAATTCATTCATAATTTATCTACTGTCTTGGCACTCAATATGTAAATGACTTTTACCAGTTATTTTCATGTGAATTTAGATAGTCTTACAATGACTTTGTGTTGTTCATTCGAACAATTCACAATCAAATTTGGCACCGTGAGTGCCCCAATCTTATTTCTGTAGCTTTAGACCTTGTTCATGCCTCGTTTTTGAGACACTGAAAGCGAGGTTGGTAATGCAAATTACATCATCCATTGATAGGATGGCTACGTCATATGAATAATTAACCTATATGACATCACTAAACACCTGATCAACAGGGGTTGAAGACTAGCCTTTCTCAGAAATGTGTGAAGGTAAAATTCATCTAAGAGTATCATTAAATAGTTTAATTATATCCAAAATTAATGATGTAAAATATTATTACTTTTGAGTTAGTGAGATTGGAGAAGGGGTCTTCAAGGTGACAATTTTACTGCAGTGATACGCGTTCCCTTGTTATCATTCTGGATCCAATATGGCCGACGCGTGAATAAGTTCTATACTAACCTGACCCATAAAATCATCACTACGAAGTCTATCTTTATCATAAACTGTTAATACTACTTCATGATATTCATAAACACCAGGTAAAGCAAATTCAAACCTCTCATGCCATTCTGGAAATCTTGTTTTCTTCTGACGCTAAATACACCATATATAAAGATTTAAATATGACTTTTGGTTAAAATTAGGCTCAGTTGTAAGAATGCAGATTGTACTCTAATACAAATGAAATGAAATGAAATGAATGGAGTTTTACGTTACTCTAATACAAGCAGATGGAGGCTGCACAATATATCAAATACTCAGAGAGAAACTTAAATAAATAACTCTTTTGAATCACTTTTGTTTTTGTAAATATTAGTTTTAGTTTATGCTGTGGAGTGGGGGGGGTGGGGGAACTGTTAAAGGGACAGATGTTGCATTTCCCGGGGATGATTTTTCATGATCTTGAATATACGTATATGTATATCACAGAGTATCTTAAGACGACAAGTCGTCATTTTAACATTCAAACACAGATAATTCTAGACACACATGGATTTTAAGGCTTAAATTTGGACAGTGAGCTGTGAACACTATTACTGATTGGCTTAGTACTTACAGCTGTAGTTCTAGTTTCATCTAAACATTGAACAGTGACATATGGATCTGAATAACCATCTTTGTCTTTTGGTGCCAAATCTCTAAAATGACAAAACAAAAATATATTCAATCTGCTTTTTTTAATAATGATTTAGCACAAATTTTAGTATAAATGGGTTCTTTGTGACATTAATGTAAAATATCACAGTTAATTTTGAAACTGTATCAATAACCTTGCTCTGATTATCAAATACATTGTAACTATTGCCTTCTGATCTTGGCCACTGTGTTCATAAAATTCACCTTAACACTAAATTAACTTGCACCTTGTTTTATCATAAATCTTTACTTTGTGACCTAGGCCAGTGCTTTCTTGAGGCTATGTTCTCATCACCATCTAACACTAAATTAGTAATTTTGTCACACTACATTATACCTTCTCTCTTCAATGGTAAGACCCAAAGTTGCTCAGTAAGTTAGATTTTGCTTAAGATCCAGAGTCCAATCCCTGCATAGGTCATTAAAGATGATGCCATCAATTTTGTTCAACCAGGTTTTCCCTTGTCAATTTTGCAGGTCAGAGGGGCCAGATTAAAAAAAACTGAAGAAAACTTGACACTGGAGAGTAAAGTTGGTTACCAAATAAAAACCAAAGACCCCCCCCCCCCCCCCCCCCCTCTTATAGATTGGTATCTTTCTTACCTGCCCTCTTCAATGGTAATATAAAAGATGTAATTTTGAGGAGAAGAATCAGAAGGCTTTATACCATATTCTAATAATATTTCACCCTGTATTTCCCAATCTTTATCAGCTTTTTGTAGTGGAAACCAGTTCTCTAAACCTATATTATAATATGACTACTAATTATCAAAACTATAATAGGAATCTTGGGTATCCGCATCAAAATTTAAATCAATATCTATAAAATTTAAATCAGTCTTAAACAGTTTTACTGAACAACATATAAGCTTATATATCGAAAATATTGAGCCATGATAAATACTCAGGCAAACTATTTAGAGAAATATTTTAGTATAGTTTACCTCTCGGATCACTAAGTTTCTTTATGATATCTTTAGTTATTGAAACAGTACCAATAATATCATCTCCACTGAAATAGATAAGAAAAGAAAACTGATACATACTTACAATAGACTGCAATAGGTCTGTCTTCCATTCTACCCCTAGGGGAAGCAGGCATCAGTTTTTAATTCTGATAAGTGGTATGGACAGTGAGCTTTATAAGCTGTTAAGCAAATATTAAGAGGACAATATGGAGTAAATGATTAAATATACCTGACTCTATCTTCATCATACACAGAAACTGATAAATCTGTAAAATCATATGGCATATGTAATGTATATTCTTCAGCCCATAATGGTTCTAAATTCTTATATACAGTGGCAGTCCTACAAAACAGTATTTACACAGAATTGAGAAGGATATAATATAATAATAATAATTTTATCAGCTATGTGGACTCTCCAAGTTGACACCCACAGTTGCAGAAATGAAATGAAATGAATGGAGTTTTACGTCCTACTCTTCTGCACCATGTGGGCTAATGACGACGGACAACGCCATGCAGGGTGCAATGAGGGAAATTTTGCCAGGACAGCGGCATTAGCCTGCTCTTTTCCGATTTCCAACTGTCAAGGGATCTTTAACGTGCACAGCCTGTAGCACACGAGGCCTCGGTTTATTTCCCATCCGAACGACCAGATGCTTTTTTCATGTCAGCCCCTCGTACCTGCATCACTGACAGGGGGAAACCGGGTTGAAAAATCCGAAGGTATTATCTCGACCTATGCCGGGATTGAACCCTGGACCTTCAGGTTAGCGAGCAAGCATCTAACTCACTGAGCCACCGCGGCTCCCCACAGTTGCAGAGTGTCATTAGGTGTTTTATGAGGTTGAGCATGTCAGAGTAATTGTTGTTTTCAAGGAGTTCAATTTAAATAAGGTTTCCTTTAATTAAAGGGACAGTTCTGTTTGATCAATCGTACCTTATTCTCAGAAAAGTGAATTTTTTAGCTAAAGTTAATCTAAAAGTGTTCACAGCTCACTGTCAAAATTTCAGTCTTCAAATCCATTTGCGTCCAGAATCATCTGCGTTTGAAAGTTAAAATGACAACTCTTCTTTTCTTGAGCCATATATAGAAAAGACATATAGAAATTCCTATTTTGAGGTATTTGTGTATTATGTGATTTTCTTTTTTTTTTAAAACTTCTGAAAACTATATACATATATACAAGACTAAAATCAACCTCCACAAAATTGCAAAACTGTCTCTTTAATGCTTTTTAACTTGATACAGTTAGACCTTTACAAATGACAAGAAAATCTATTCAGATCAGATTATTCATTAGTTCTTGTTTTGGAAAAAAATTCATATTTGACATAAAAAAAATAAATATTAGAATGACTTTAATTTCAGGTTGATTTTTTACTTATGATTGAATATAATACATTGAACTAGCTAGCTACTCTATGGCTGAAACTAGGACACATTCAAAACCTTTTAAGTATTTTGCAATAAAAATTGAATATCATTAACTATGGCATATGAAATCATAAAATCGAAAATAACATAATAATAGGAAGTCTGTACAGGAAACTTTGTTCAAATAGATTTTAAACTGATGTTGAAAGTCAGCCTGTCAACACACTTCTCAAAAAAATCTATTTTAAAGGAGCAGTAGCGGTATTTTAGGGAGTTTATTTTAGTCTTGAATATATGTAAATATTCTTCAGAAGTAAGCCTACTAAAAATGTATTCGAAAATTGCATAATTCCTTCAAAAATTCATACTTCAAACTATGAATTTTATTGACCATTTCTATATATGTCTTTTCTATATATCACAGAGTATCTTAAATTGACGAGACGTCATTTTCTCATTCAAATGCAGATATTTCTGGACACACATGGATTTAAGGCTCAAATTTCAAAGGTGACCTGTGAACACTATTACTGATTAGCTCCAGTTTCTGAGACTAAAGTACAATTGGTCAAAAACAATGGTGCACCTGTCCCTTTAAGTATGGAATTTTACATTAAAGGTGCAATCCATATAGCTAACAAGGTAGCAACTGACAGATTTTGCTACAAATTAATAATAAAATGTTGTTTATCACAAAGATGTTTGAAGTTTTTAAAATGTGAAGATAAACTCAGAGCAAACGTTATTTTGAAATCGAGCCAGATTTTGAATGTCTTGATAACCAAGACTACAGAATCTAAAATGTGGTGAAGGAGAAGCAGACTTGCATGCTGAGCTTCTTTTGAGTTTTTTTTCATTAATTTTGTTAGTTTAAGCTTTTATCTACTCCTCTTGATGAAGAATAATAAAATAATAGGGTGTTGCTAACATGTTCGCCATTTGTTTGACCTTTTTTATTATAGTCCCAGTAACGAGAATTTTCTAGCTAAGCCAATCAGTTATAGTGTTCACAGCTCACCGTCGAAATTTGAGCTTTTTAATCCATGTGTGTCTAGAATTATCTGTGTTTGGAGGTCAAAATGATGACTCGAAATATCTTGAGACTATAGAAAAGACAGAAATAGAAATGGAAAGTGAAATTCCTACAGCTTGAGTTATTTTTGAAGGAATAATGCGATATTCAAGACCCAAATCAACCCTTGAAAATGGCGAACCTGTCACTTCAAATTTGAAATTTGCTTTTATCAAATCTATCTATATCATTACTTTTAGAAATATCACACATGCAACCAAGAAGACGGTTTAAGTTGGAAACGGAAGACCTTTAGAAAATGGTGGCCAGAATTCGTAATATTGAATATAGAGTGAAAATAAAAGAATCATCTGTTGAAGATTTATTAATAATCAAACAATATGTAGAAGAAAAATGTATGAAATTATCAAGGGATTGAATCAGCTGTCACAGTTTCTACTTCACTTCTTATATATACCTAGTTTAATTAAAATCTGACTGTTATTATGATATATCAATAGAACACGTTAATTCTCATCTTCACTATGTCAAGGTATTACAAACCTTGTCTAATACCTTGACTTCATTAAGCACTAGTATTACAGAAGGTTGGGATTATTGGATTGTATACTCTAGTTAAAAGGACAGGTTAGCCATTTTCAGGGGTTGATTTGGGTCTTGAATATATGTAAATAATCTTCAGAAGTACTATGAATGTACAAAAATCACATAATTCCTTTAAAAATATCTCAAACTAGGAATTTTACTCACTTTTTCTATGTCTTTTCTATATATCACAGAGTATCTAAAACTGACGAGTCGTCATTTTAACATTCAATCAAGGATTATTCTTTACACACATGGATTTGAAGGCTCAAATTTCGACGGTGAGCTGTGAACACTATTACGGATAAGCTAAGCTAAAAAATTCCAGTTTCTGAGACTAAAGTATGATGTTCCTTTAATAGTGCCAATCAGAATCCTCAAAAAAATATCATAAAAATAATAATGGCCGGGTTTGCCACTACTAGTTTTTGTCCGTATTTTGAACATAGGTTTTGATTCAACCTTGAACTGCACTGAGCGTAAATGAAATAAAACGTTATATACCCTGAGCTCCAAGTAATATAACTTAAGCTTATGACCTTAATGTTCTTTGACATCACTTGGTAAAGGCCGCTCGGGTATATATTGCTTAATTGTGAGGCTGGGTTGAAAGGGTTAAAGCAGAAAATTGACAATGTGCCTTATGATGTCAAGGTATTGGATGGAGTTTGTAATACCCCGAAATAGTGAAGATGGTTAATTCTGTACACATAAATAAACTGACTGTACAGTTTGAGTTAAACAAAGAAATTGATGATCAAGATTAGCTAGTCAAAATGACACTTTAATTTGTCATCCTCTAATAAACCTGATATCCATTGATTTGAAATCAAATACCAGGTGTTTCAAAATAAAAGCCTTGATTTGGGCCATGTAAATAGTCTTGCGAAATACAAGATCTTTACAAAAATTGCATAATCCCTTCAAATATACCACAAACTAAAATTCTATTTTGGATATTAGAAAAAGATAGCTTGCCACACAAGGTAGCATACATCCACTACAAGCTATCAGAAATGATAACAAATTCTGTAGTGTCTTAATAATGAATTTTCAAATAATCTTAAAAATATTTTTAAGTCAAGGCAAAATCTCCAAAACAGTTCATCAAATTATCATCAAATTCAAACATGAACAAGACCTCATTGACATACACACAAGGGCAATAATTCAGAAACAGTTCATCAAATTATCATCAAATTCAAACATGAACAAGGTCTCATTGACATACACACAAGGGCAATAACTCAGAAACAGTTCATCAAATTATCATCAAATTCAAACATGAACAAGGTCTCATTGACATACACACAAGATCAGTTAAAAACTCTAGCCTCTATTGTGTCTACAAGAAATGACTAACGGACAGGAGTCACGGCAATATACATCCACCTTTCCATGAGGGCATATAACAATACATGGAAGTATAGCAGAAAGAAAGCCTTTCCTATACATGGCTCTCCTTCAGAAAGTCTCATTTTTGTGTAGGACAAGAACATAGAAACAGTTATTCCTTAATTCAATTTTCTCATAAATTAAATCAGAAGAACTAACAACTAAATTAATGGTGTTTAAGTACCTTGAAATAATTTCATTATCTACTTTCAGTACACAATACGGATCGCTTTTACCATTCCTGGAAATACAATATAACATTCATTAAGTATTGATTATCTCATTGACATGAATAATACACATTCTGGTCTCAGGAAAATACTATTGTGAAATACCATTGTTTTTAAATTCTCTTTACTGACAGAGTTGGCAGCAATTATTATATTTTTATCCAGTGGGCTCAGACAATAAAATTATAAATGGTAAATTGAAGAGAACTTAAGGATAAGAAGATGACAATATCAGAGAGATTATATAGTCTTTATTGCCCACTCGAGAATATATACAAGATAATTCTGAATGTAAGATACCTTAGAGAATATAAAAACAATCTCTATAAAGTTCAATGTCAGCTGATAAATCAATTCTCTTTAGCTTACTAAGCTAAAATATTGGGTTTCCTTATTTTCCTATTTGATTAATTGGTGTTTCTAATGCATTATCATGTATTATTAATCATATCGTTATGTTCTTATTGCATATAATCAAGAGTTTTAAACAATCATAAATGTCCATATAGTACAGTCTGGATAAACAAAAAAATACTTTTTGACCTTTCTCGATCGGTCACTCGTTGATATTCTGCTGGTAATTCTCTTCTAATTTAGCTAGTTATGAATCAATTAATCAATTAATTAGAACACCTCTACTTTCTATTTATAGAAGTATATATGTATAAGCATTCCATTTTCATAAATGAAAATAAGGGAACCCATCTTTAATAGATATCTTTGTTAATCATATTATGACTATATTAACAAAAGTCAATTTTGCAGAAATTTCCATTCATTATTAGTGAAGGCATGCCATCCATTTTGCTAGCCAGTCATAATTAGTTTTGTCAGTCCTCTCAAGATGCTTTTATTCTAATTAACTTATTTTAGGGGTCCTACTCACAGTTACATAATAAGGTTAAGGTCCTAGTCAAGAATGTATGTCAGAGTCTACTAGTCAAGAATGTATGTCTAAGTTTACTAAATCAAGAATGTATAGTAGAATTTACTTGTCAAGAATGTTTGTCACAGTTTACTTGTTAATAATGTTGTCACAGTTTACTTGACTTTGACAAAGAATGTATGACAGAATTCACTTGCCCAGAATTGATGTCTAAGTTGACCATTCAAGAATGTATAGTAGAGTTTACTTGTGAGGAATGTATAGTAGAGTTTACTTGTGAGGAATGTATGTCAGAATTCACTTGTCAACAATGTATAGTAGAGTTTACTTATCAAGAATGTATAGTAGAGTTTACTTGTCAAGAATGTATAGTAGAGTTTACTTATCAAGAATGTATAGTAGAGTTTACTTGTCAAGAATGTATAGTAGAGTTTACTTATCAAGAATGTATAGTAGAGTTTACTTGTCAAGAATGTATATCAGAGTTTACTTGTCAAGAATGTACGTAACAGGTCGTACATGTTCGTAAGAGGATTTACTTGTCAGGCACGTCTAAAGGAAGTTTTACTTAATCGCCATTTAAGCTCTGCCAGATCATTTCCTTTCATCCTTTACACACTGAATGTCAAATTGTCCTGTACAACATACAACATGATATAGTGTTAATATCAGTAATTATTTACTAATTGAGTTATCATACCAATTGCCAATAATGAATACTAATAAAAATGATTATCTTGACAGTCTAATCTAATAATAATAGTCATTTGTTAATTAGCATTATTTATTAATTATCATTAAGAACTATTTACTATAACTACTCTACATAATACATTATTTCTTATTGACTAGCCTTACTGTTTATGGTACTTGTGAGATAAACCACTATCATCATATTGAACTCGGTCTTGTCAAATTGGAAGCCATGCTAGCTCAATGAGTTAGATGCTTGCGTGCTGAATGTCCAAAGTTTAATCCAAGCATAGGTCAAGTTAATAACTTTTTTCAGCCATTATAAAGCCAAAAACCAAAACTAGGTCAAACTGGTAAACTAACAATTATCATTCTCTGTTCTTAATTAACCCTTTCAAAATAAATTCTGTTTGATCAAGCTTGATGAATAGATACAGTGGCAGAAACAAGCTTATGTTCCAGTGGGGGGTGGCGGTGTTGGCGAAATATCTGAGATTGCCCGAATTTCAAACCTAGTTATGAGATTTTTGTTTTCGGGCTGCGAGGAGGGGTCTCCCTTTGGTTCTGCCACTGCATAGATAGAACGTTTTTGATAATGAACATTTTGCATTCTGCCCCTTTACGATTTAAAAATGACAGTAAATGAGAATTTTTCATGTGATGTTGCCGTCAATCACTAGTATTACCAGCTGCTGTCTTGTTATTAGTTTAACATGCTGGTAACTGTTAATCACACATGTTCAGCAATAAAAAATACATCAATTTTCAACAGGAGACTTAAATATCTAGTTGACCTTGATTTTATTTAACATTTTAAAAGATTCAAATAACTGAACCTATCCGTGAAAACCTGATTCGTTTATTCCATTATATCTATTACAAATACAAATCCAGGTTTAAATTCGATATAGGACAAACAATATAAGCCATATAGAATCTGAAAGTGATGCCAAAATGGACAAACCATTAGGTGTTGCTATGTTGTGCCGCCTAACTTGCAACACCTGCTACAATATATTATTTCATTTTTGTTCATGTTGGACTACATGTACACTGTCAGTACTGGTACCATATTTAAAGGGTTGGGGGGACATTGGGCCATGGCTCTCCTCTCAGGTCTGTTGGCATCTGGGAGTCTCTGGTGGCCTCTTTTTTAACTAAAATCATCCAGCCGTTTGGCCATGCCCCCCCACAGGCCTGTGAAAGGTCATATCTTAAAAAAGCTAAAAATTGATCGCAGGCCATCTGTAAATCATTGGCATCTGCGGGGGTCTCTGGTAGCCTCCATACCCGGGCCTCACCTCTCATTTTTTGGCCTCCCCCCTCAGGCATTTTCTAGATAAGCCCATGTTCACTGTCATCTTAGTCTGTGTATTGGTGTGAGAAAATTTGTATAAACATTGTTAAATCAAATTCTTTTATAACAGGGTTTTTATGTGATTTTTTCCCCTTGATTTGTTATGTTTAGATATTAAATATTGACACTATTTTGTCCCCATAGGCTACTTTATTTTTCTTTTTATGTTGTTTTCTTTTTATTTAGTATAAATTATTTGTTTAAAGGACTACTACCTCTTAGAATAAACCACTTAAAGGGATGGTAAAGGGATGGTAAAGAGGTTTTCTAAATTTGTGTATTGGGGACACTGATAGCATCAATTTTCAATAAGACATCTGTTGTTCCTGCAATTTCACTAAAACTCAGTGTTTGATAACTTCAGGATGCATAGGGCCTTATGTGATATAAGCATATTTTGCAATTGGTGACGTCATCAAAGAATTTAGAAAACATTTTTACAATCCCTTTAAATAGTCACTAATATAACATTAAAAGTCAGATTGATCCTGTAATGGCTTTAAAGTAAGAATTATCCTTCAATGGCTATAAAGTAAGAATTATCCTTCAATGGCTATAAAGTAAGAATTATCCTTCAATGGCTATAAAGTAAGAATTATCCTTCAATGGCTATAAAGTAAGAATTATCCTTCAATGGCTATAAAGTAAGAATTATCCTTCAATGGCTTTAAAGTAAGAATTATCCTTCAATGGCCATAAAGTAAGAATTATCCTTCAATGGCTTTAAAGTAAGAATTATCCTTCAATGGCTTTAAAGTAAGAATTATCCTTCAATGGCTATAAAGTAAGAATTATCCTTCAATGGCTTTAAAGTAAGAATTATCCTTCAATGGCTTTAAAGTAATGGCAATATTTACATGGGAATGGTAATATCACTAGCAAACTAATGCAAAGACAAGTACAGAAACAGGCCTCTCGAATAAACAAGGATTCAACTCATCCATTAACAAATATCTTTACAATGGTCAAAGTATTACGTCTTCATCTTATACCTTGACTGCAATGGCCAACATTCTTGTTTCACAGACGTTTGTGAATGCAGCAATTTGATTGGATTATACGCTAACCAATCTCAGCCCTCGCTAGAAAGACGGTAAAAAACAATTACACATAAACTCAAGGGCTCTGTTTTATTCACTGGCGTACAATCCAATCAAATCGTTGAAACAAGAAAGTGGGCCATTGCAGTCAAGGTATAAGATGAAGATGTAATACCTTGACCATAGCAAAGATGACATGCATGTATCTTGACTTTAGTCAGCATCAGTAACAGGGAGATATCATACTGAAAAATAAGTTGTAGGTAGCCAATTATTTCGACCTATGCAGCAAATATTACAGGTATGATAACAAATTCTGGTGAACGGAAAAATATTTCCCTTAATGGTAGAGCTCGAATTCCATGATTGAATTAATCTCTGTTATATTAGATGTTTAGCCTCAAGATATATGTAATTAGGTCTGATTAACATCCAGCTACTTGATAAATGATATCTGAATAAAAATCAATTATTTCTCAACTCCATCTAGTCTAGATAGATTATAATCAAATCCAATCTCAATCTTGTCACTTTCATATCTAGAGGCGCTAGAAAACTATATCATTATGATAGCTGGCTGAAAAGTTCTAACTTAGGTATATCAGTCGAATTGAAAAAAAACCTTTGCCACCAGTCTCTTATTTGATGATATGAACTGCACGGGTCATTGTACCAGACCATCTTGTAAACCTACTCAATAACTCATCTGCTAGATGGGTGTCAAAGCTCTTAAAGGGATAATTTTTATCTGTATCCAATTTTCGATCAGACCTTGTCCCTGCAATTCCACTTAAGCATTTGATGATGTCACTAGTCACAAAATATGCCATATCACTTAAGGACTTTGTGATTAGTGATGTCATAAAACGCTAATTTAAGTAGAATTGCAGGAACCACAGACGTCTGATTGAAAATTGGAATGGTGCAAATTGATACTATCCGTGGTCCTGATACTCTTAAAAAATCTTAAAAATCTCGTTACAATCCCTTTAACACTAATAACTGATAAGAAACATCTCAGTTTCCTGATGTCCCTTGACATTAACATTTATACCCATGATCTTATTGTTGATATGACTCAAAAGATTTCAAACTACTTCCTGAAATGAGGAAGAAATTAGTCAGTAGCAATTTATCTAGTAATGATGACTTGCTGTGAGTGACTTTTTTTTATGGTAGATTCAGAAAATCTTGCTTTGACCTGCAAATTAAGACCTTGCAGCACTGCTGACAAAAGTGTGTAAAACGGGAAGGGTACTAACTAGAGAAAAAATTGACAACCATTGACCTGATAGAACTTTTCAGCCAGCCCTCGGACGCTGATGAATTATGGCAAAAAAAAAAAACAATTATGATGCTTTAATAGCTTAGCTATATAACCTATTGTCTGATTGAAAAGGTTTCATTTCCTGTTGAACTTTGTTCAGTGATTCCTTTAGATAATTTTCTTATTTAGTATGAAATGTCATAAAGTCTGCCATAAAGGAAATTATAAAGTTTGTTATGCCTTTGTAGGTGTAAGAAAACTACTGTACAGATTTAAACAAAATAAATGCTTAATTGTAGAGAAATATGTGTCCTATATTTTCTGAAAGTTTCAACTAATAAAATTGAGCAACTAGGTCAAACTGTTTAATTAACAATTAGTAGGCCTACGTTCTATTTTTAATTAATTCTATCAAAACAAATTCAGTTTGATCAAGTAGATACATAGATGTAAATAGCATACTTTAGGAATATCTACAAAAAAGCGGAATGCTCTTTAAAATATTTCTTAGTTTTTCTGTTAATGTCAATGGAGGATTAAACCTTATTTTATGCACTTTAAGCTATTTGCTTACACTTTTTAAAAATTAGTTGGATCCAAAATAGGTTAAAAAAAATTGGGGAAACGTAAACCATCAAATAATTTGGGTTTTTTTTCCTTCAGGAATTTTTAATTATTCAAAAGGTAAAATCATGAAAAAATTTTAGCCATGCCCAATATTGGAAAAGAGTAGCCTAGCCTAGGTTCCTAGCAAATGGTTTGTGAAAACTATAAAAAAAAAAACAAAAGAAAGAGAGAGAAAGACAAAGACAAGAAGGTGATTCAAAGAATAAATTGTCTATAAAAGATTCCAATTATGATTACATTTACATACACTGTAGAACTACATTAGTTGTGAGGTTTCCTTTATATCATCGTTTCTTCAAACAAATTATTTGTAGTCGTAGTCTAAATTCGGCATTTTTTCGAAACGACTCAAACTTTAAAAAATAAAAACAAATGTACTTACAAATCTTTTGACAACAGGCTCTTAGCTTCGGAAATGCGTAAATATAACGTTGTGTGTTTGGAAACCATTCCTATTTTTGGAAACTTAAAGAAAGCATTAAAATATCAGTTAGTAAACAACAGCTGCCATTCCATTGAAAAATCAAGTTGCCTCCCCTTGATTTATAAGCACGATCAATAGACCATGTAGCCTACAGGTGTCACAGGTATCATATGATATCCAGGACGCTCTGGGTTATTTAAGATATTAGTTCCTTCACTAATGCATCACAGTTTCGAATATAATGTTTTTATGTCCACAAACGATGTCATTGATGTCTTACAAAAAGGCCAATGTTACTCAGAAAAATAATTCATATCACTTCCTGATTAGCATTGTTTCCTTGTTTTAAAATTAGATTGGTTGTATATATATATATACAAATGTATGCAACAAATAGGAAAAATTTATTGCGAAATATTTTTTTTTTACGTAATTGCAAGTGGGTGTTGTAAATTAGCCTTTAGCAAAAGCTCATAGGTTTTCATAGGAAAATATAATTTTATAAAATCATTCAGCAATGTTGTTCGTAAGGAACTATTTGAAAATAAGAGGGATCATGTGAGCAAGTCTCCAAAGATAGAAATCTCTAGAGAGGAGGCAAAATTTCCCTCGTAGCACACATCATTAGCCCAATCAAGTGCAGTAGATGTAAAGCAGTGTTTTCAAGCTTTATGGATCGTCAATAATAAGCCTTTTGGAAGGCCATTTTAAATTACAAAATACTATTATTAATTAGCCTATAATGTCTCTCCTAAAAAAAATAATTTTCAGCTATTTCATTCAAATTATTACTTATTAAGCTTAATTTCTGTCTTCAGTATGAAGTTGTTAGCTCTTTTCGGGGTGGTTAGCTCTGACATAAAGCTCAATAAAAAGCTGAAAATAAGGTTATAAGTATATCCACCATAAAACCCTATTTCAGGACTATCAATTTCACTTTCTGTTTTAAAGTTACGGGTCAAATTTTAACCGACAATGAAATGAGTGTCTTACCATTTTGGAGTTGACCACCTGTTTAAAATTCCAAGAGAACTAGGTTATTACTTATCTTTCTTTAACTCTAATTGACATGACAAAAAGATCTAGGGTTTTATTTTGTGGGGTTTTTTTTGCAGGTTATTACACTTGTCGTCCTTGATCTGACAAAATTTGTACTTAAATCAAGTTCATTTGAATTAAACTAATATGAAAAGTTGTCATAATTGGCGTACGCAGAGTATAGTATATGAAAACGTTTCAAGGATATCATGTCCCCCCCCTCTTACGAACTATTTTTTTTAACACATTTCGACGTGTTTTAACAAAGTCAAGGGCAATATCTTAAAAACCGTTCATCGAAAATACGTCAAATTCGAATTTGACCGAATTCTTATCAAAATCAGATGAAAACTGTAGTCTCTATAGTGCTCACAAGAAATGTTGACCGACGGACCGGGGCGACGACAATATACGGCTACATATTCATGTGGGCGTATAAAAAGTCATTAATATTCTAAACAGTGCATAATTACCAACATTCCAACAGAATAATTCCAAACCTTTGGCAATCTTGAGGGTATGGGCAATCTTATGACGAACTCACTGACGTACTGACGTATGAGGTAGCCCTGACTCATCTTATGGGTTTGGGCATACAAACAGTCTTGGTCGCCGATTTTTGTCGCTGACTCAAATCTTGAATAAATACTCCTCTTCAAGATTATCGCGTTGCCGAAAGGATTTAAAATATCAAAATTGGTTTATCGTCTGCAAGACATCGAGTGTCATCATCCAATCAGATTCATTTTTGTTTCGATTGCATGAGAGATTGCATGATCACCTCGTGATTATCGACATAGTGGAAAACGACCGACAGGAGATATTTTGTCTCCTCATGTACCTTCTGCCTCAAGATCGCGGACCAAAACTGTTTGAGTGCCAACAGAATAATTCTACAATTCTCTTTAACATTGTGGCATGGTCAATTTTCTGGAACACCTGTAGAGTAGAGTATGTTCCACTATGTAATCTGCATAGGAGCATGAACAACTAATAACAAATTTATATTAAAATATTATAATATATTTATAACCATAAAAACTTTACAATAAATACTTCAATATACAAATAATTACATAAATTCTACAATAGTATAGTCTGACAAGATATTTATATGATCCTGCTGGTTTGCTTCCACACAAACTCACTCAGATTTGTGTCTGTTCCTGTGCCAGTAGTGAAACTCAAGACAAGACTCTAATCTGTGACAAAAGTCTCCGACCAAGTTCAATTTGAATTTATAGTCAACTGTATCAGAGCCACCAACATAGTGGGAAATGAAATGAAATGAATGGAGTTTTACGTTCTACTTTCTGCACCATGTGGGCTAATGAAGACGGCAACATAGTGGGAAGACTGAATTGTATTTTAGATTCAAGTGTAAATAATAAAGTAATATCTGCATGGGAGAAAGTTGAAAATGCTCTCAGTGATATCAGTTTAACCTTCATGAATAACTTTTTCTATTGTAGTAAAACAAGATGTCATTTTTAATTCTGAAAAGTGTTAAGGATAATTGATCAGTCTATGAAGCAAATCCCTCTTTATAATCTACTTTCAATTCCTCTTATGCATTAACCCACAATTGACTGCAAATAGGATAGACTCTAGAATGTGAATAAATATCATGGATTAACAATGAAGTATATAGTTGGAAGGATAACTATGGACGGATTGAGAGAGTGACACAAACAAATATATACCTGAGAAAGGTTCAATACAGTTCATACATCTACACAGAAATCATATACTTTCATTGGTGCCAAATTTAATTGATTTGTCCCAAGGAGCATATTGAAGTGATTAATTATTGTCTAAGTAAAGCAGACATTTTTTTTAAAATTTTTTGTATTATTTTAATGAGAATTGGAATAGCAGCCTCAAAATAGCAATGTTAAATCTAAGAATATCTTTGCCTTTACATTGAAAAGAAGCACTTTTTTCTCCTAGAACTTTCAGCAAAAAATCTCAAATTTGGACTGAAAATTGTCCCCTGTAAAAACAAATTTTGAAGACATAATGTGTGCTAATGTTTATATTTTTATCAACACAAAGACATTCTAAGACTAACAGTACTATTTTGAGGCTGCTATTCCATTTCTCATTAAAAATATAGAAAAAATACAAAAAAACTTTTTTACTTTGCTCAGACAATTTCAAATTAGAGAAAGAGTGTAAAATTGAGATAAAGAAAATGCTTTCACATCAGATCTATGTTCGAATAACATACAAGATAAAAGTCTGAAATCCTCGAAATCGTCCAACTATAAGTTCTGTTAAGCCTAAGATATGCTATTCCTATCTGAATGTCAAGAATAAAAGTTTGAAGACATTATGAGCACTATGCTGCTGTAACTCCTGAAAGTTCTACATCTTTTCCTAATATTTCATCATCTCCCTTCTTAAGATTGTCTCCAAGACGGTCTGCGTTTGGTGCCACAGATAAGACTACCCAGCCTAATATTATTGATACACCACGTACTGTATTTAATGTTCTCCATAGCGATAACTCACTGTCACTCTCCTGAAAAGAAGTTAATAAAGTTTCAAAACTAAAACACAATAAAATATAGGACAACTAAAAAAGCCAAATTTAAATTTAAAGCAAATGATTTTTGGAAATGTTCTTCCAACAAGGATTCCTCCCCCAAAGTATTTTATTTGACCCTAAGACCACATTAAAATTTGAAAGTCGATAAGAGCTATGATAAAAACACAAAGGAATTAATTATGATATAGTGCACTTCTTTAATATCAAAGTTTCAAAACAATTTACTCGTGTAGTCATCAGATGAAAGTCTGATTCTTTTTTGTTTTTTTGTTATATTTTTGATGTTTTAATCAAACTATAGACCTTATTCACACCTCGTTTTTGAGACACTGAAAGCGAGGTTCATAACACAAACTACGTCATCCATTGATAAGATGGTGATGTCATATGAAGGACTAGCCTATGTGACGTCACTAAACACCCGATCAACAGTTAGAAAATGGGCTTAAAAGTATCCTTTCTGGGAAATGTGTGAAGGTGAAATTCATTAAATAGCTTAAGCAATTCCAAATTTAATGATGTAAAATACAATTAGTTTCGAGTTAATGAGACTGGAGAAGGAGACTTTAAAGACGTTAAGGTGGCATTTTACTGCAATGACATAACGTTACCATTTCAAGATTTGCGTTATGAGCCTCTTTCTGGATTCAATATGGCCGACAATATTGCAATTCTTAAGTCATGCTGCTCCTCCCCCTCCCATCAGTATATATTCTAATAAGGCTTATACATACCACAGCATCAGTCCATAATTCCGGTTTAGTATCATATAGATTAATCTTATCTTCTGTTGATATTAAACATATTGATAATATTAAGGCCAAGAAATAAATTACAATAGCTATAGCTGTATTCTGTAGAGACAATGCTTTCAGGAAAAATCTTCCACTTGTATTAGCTACATCACATCTGAAATATATCAAAGGACCTTTTCAAATGACAGTTTTCTTTCTAAAAACGGATAGGGGGACCAAAAAAATTACGAATTGCACTGCTCAATGGTTTTTATAAGCCAACACCATGAGATATTCTCATATCGGACATCATTTATACAAAAATAGAAAAATATGTAGGATCTTGTCTGCTATTTGGTTTATTTTTTGGATTATTTTCTAAAATTTGTGTAAAAATAATGAAAGTGTAGGCAGACTTACTTCCCCTTAAAAATATTAAAATAAATCAACTCTTAAGGTATTTAAAGGGATAATAAAGAGATTTTCAATGCTTTTATCATGTGTTGAAGAAACTGATAACATTGCTTTGCGACATTCCAATTTTCAGTCTGATGCCTGTCATTTTGTAATTGCACTAAAACTAAGCATTCTATGACATCACTATCACAGTGCCTTATAAACATCAGCAAATGTTCGAGTTAGTGACATAATCAAATGCTTAATATGAAGATTAAGCGTTTTTCAATAATTACTTAGTTTTATGAATTTTCCAATTTTACAGAGATTCTGTTGACACCAGATAAGCTAACTGATGAATAAATACTCATATTGGCCATTTCGAGAACTTAAATTTTATGTTCATTCTAAGACGTAGTATCACTTTAAAATAGAAAAAAAAATATTACCTATCACATGCTGACACTGAACATAGTGCTAGTAATATATAGTACATACACTGTACAGGCATTGCTAGTGGACGGTAGTGTTGTAGGAAATCTGTAGTTGGAAACTGGCTTAAAATATAAACTATAACAATATGCCAGAGAGCAATACCGGCTAATAAACCATGTAAAAATAAACCAAATGTTTTAAAAATCTTGTGAGTCTGAAGGCCAAACTCCATTGTTGTCATACTAGATGGTTCAACTATATCAAATTCTCTTGTCTTTTCTTCTTCGGCAATTTTCTTGGCTAACTTAGCTTTATCTTCACCTTTAAATCCCCCTACAAAATATCATTACCATTTAATGAAGACAATTACAACAGATAAAAGAGCACTTGTAATGGTAACCACTCTGGTTCACAAGGATCCTTTCAATCAGCTGGTCCTTGACAAAACCTTTCCCAGAAGGTATTTTATTTGATACATATACATGCTCTCTCAAAAGTTTGGCAACAAGTGTCATCTGACTTTCAAACCAGAAAAGTGCCTGATGACATCAAGGTATTAGAATGGGATGGATATAACTTGACATTCTAAAGACGATAGAACTTAGTGACTTCCATTGGAGCTCTGGTTTGACTGAAATTAAACTATAATATTTTGTGATGTATTATTTGACCTAGTTGGAAGCTCAAGAATGATGCACGCTATGTGGGAAATTGAACACAAGGAAACATGGTCTCATGGTTTGCTTCTATATGGTTTTAAAGTGCTACCACATTGCTTTAATTGATTGGAACTTCACTCGACATTCGCACTGAAGTTGATAAGGTCAATTTTCCAAAAACAACAGAGGTTCAATCAAAGTCGCACATAGTTTTTCAATCATCATGACCAGATTGTGTATCAGACATTAATTTATAAGAAATATACTAACTATTAGTTTCTATATAAAGTTTTCCAGTAGGTTGACTGCGTAATATATTAGGTGAGGTATAATGAGGCTGATCAACTAAAGTTTCATCTTTCACTCTTTCAGCCACCACATCTTCCGAAATAAATGTGAGGTCAGAAGCCAACACAGCATCACCAAATTCATCTTTATTTATTTCTTTCTTGACTTTCTTTTTCTTTCCTTTCTTTTTTGGAGTTCCACTTTCACTCTCTTTCCCAATCAAACTAGCTTTACTGCCAGTGACATCCTAAAGGAAATGATATGAAACATTGAATAATGATCAGTGTGTTTTAAATTAATGGATCAGAAAACCACCTTAAAACACCAGTTAGAGTATATAACAGTAAATTCTCTCTAAAGCACTTAAATTAGTGTATCAGGTCCAACATAATTTGGGAATATTTTGAAGTCAGGGGTCAGGGGAATGAGGTGCACACGTTTTGGGTTTTTTTTTTTTGGTCATTTGCTTTTTAAAAGCTTAATTTTAACAAGATACAAAAAAATAAGGGAGACAAATTTTTACCAGAAGGGAATAGCTGGTGCAACAGACTTTTAGAAACCAGAATTCCTTAACTTACAACATTTCAGTTACATAAGAAGACATAGTCAAGTCAATATTGTCATTCATGGTACTCATACTCATACATTATAGCAATAGATACCAACCTCCTCGTTCTCTTTACTACCACCAACACCCGCGTTTTCATTCTCATCCACTGTTTTCTTTGGCTTTCTCTTTTTCGGTTTCGAAGGGGAATGTATTTCTTCAGTAACTTCTGTCCCCTCGTTATCGTTACCAGGTCGGCTTTGTGATCGGGGCCTCCGTTTTGGTTTGGCAGGTGCTTTTTGTTTGGGCTCTTCCACCGATTCGTTATTTTGAGGTGGTGACCCATCGGTATCGTCAACTGGTATTTTCTTTTTCTTCTTTTTCACTACCTTCTTCGCACCATCTTCATTCAGCGCTTGCCCTTTTGGTGATAAAGGTGGAAGCTTTCTTATAATCTTCTTTTCGTTTTTCTCGGATTCGTCGGCCATCTTGTTGCGATGGAATGCAATGGACTTTTTTTTATCTCTATATTGAAGAGCTAACGGTGGCCACCTAAAACAAACTACAAACACAAAAATGTATTTTTCGGGTAGCCTCGCCTTATTGTGAAACATTTCGACACATTTCAATGATAATTGAACAGTTATTACTACTTTATTGTTTTATCTAGGTCTCATCTAGAAATTTCACTTAAATCGAAAAAGCAACTTTTAAAAAATACTTTCTGATAAGGGCTTGAAAAATGATTTTCTAGCTAGCCTTTGACGACATTCGTTTGAATGGTGTTTGCAGTAGTGATGCCATATTTGGTAATGATACGCCTCTTCTCGAACAGGGGATGAATTAGGCCTAATGTCCCTGTTTTAAGATCTACATGAACGATTACGTAGGTCAAGAAAGAAAATCAGATAACCCCAAATATCAGGTCAATATGTTTAAAGTAAGTATTCTATATTTTTTAGTGACTTTTACAATCAAACCTGTATACCTTGTACAGTACTAGTAGCCCAGTCGACGTGGCGATCGACGACAACAAGAGAAAAATTAATTTGGGTTTTATCAAAATTATTTGTTTCAATTTAAGAACAACAGGTAGCCTACATTAAGGCTAGACCTATTATATAGCCTACCTGCTATGAAACAGTGTCGTATATTTCGTCTACTTGTTCCTAATATGGGCCTAAAGCATGTCTTCAGAAAGTGTTTAATGACGTCACTAAGAATCGCAAAATAAGCTAGGCTATAGGCTATCACAAACGGCCCTTCGCGAGTGGTGTAGTCTTTAAATATTTAGTTTTAGTGTAATTGCAGAAATCACAAGCGTTTGATTGAATTTGGGAATGGTGCCAAGTGATGCTATAGGGCCCATGTGTCCCCGATACACATACATTTTTTTTTTAAAAACCTCTCTTACAGTCGAATGGTGTGTTTGGAATTTTAATAAATCACCAATTAATACCACACATGCGGTCATGCTGATTGAGTTCAAATTCGCATGAATGTTTTTGTGTGCCGATACAGAAAGAATTTTGTGTATACTCTACTTAAATTTGAATAATAAATAATTTAGTTATAGACCTAGGCTATATATTCCTTATCACAACGTATCATAATTCCATTCAGAATGTCCTTAGTAAAGATACCAGACTCAAGTGGTAATACAGTGGTTGTTAGAGAGTTAAAAGATGGTAGATTGATGCCCAGATTTGATCCAGAAACTTTAGAAAATGTGAAAAGTTTAA